AGACAAGGGCGAAGCAACAGATCGTTTTATTATGAAAATCAACACGTATTTATACATCTTTCAACTACATTATTATAGACAAGCGCAGTCATCTGATTGGTTGTTTAGGTAGACAAACGCAGGCTTCTGATTGGTTGTTTCGGGATTCCTTGACAAATAGAGTTCTCTATCTGCGAATCATATTTTGCCACGTTAACTTTGCTGTGATTGGTTGTTGACTCAGGCTTGTTCATATTTTCTCACGGCCCATATTAGTGACCTAGACCTTAACGTAGATTAGTGCCAACCAATCGGCTAGCAGCCTGCTCTCACCACACTCGTCCCCCCGTCAAATAGCTTCGTGCGCAGACGTTCCGACCTTCTGGGTGCTACATCCTCTAGTTGAGGATTGTTACTGACCGGCTTGTCCCACTGTACCCATCTTTGGAGCTGACTGGCGTTAACTCGTTTCTGTTTATCACCTCTTCGGATGGTATATACTTGACCCCGTCTTTTTGTGATTGTGTATGGTCCTTCCCACTTTGGAAGGAGTTTCCGTGAACCTAGCCCGCCTCCAACTGTATATCTCCTGTCTCTACACTTCACTTGGTCCCCGACTGCAAAGGTAATGCACTGCGTCCTTTCTTTCATCTGAGACTTCATGACATCACTGCGCTGCTTCCGTATTACATTCTTGACTGCCTCTTTCCTCTCTGCTTTTAATTTCGTCGTACTCCACTTTTGGTGCATGGGCCAGGTCTCATTGTGTACCGGTAATCGTGGTTTTCTACCATACATCAGTTGGAAGGGTGACTTCTTCGTTGTTTCCTGAGTGGTAGCGCGATGTGTTAGTAAAATCAGTGGAAGCTCCGTTTCCCAGTTCCCGCCCTTCGAGGCCAGCCACTCCTTCAGTGTACGGTTGTTTCTCTCCGTTAGGCCATTCGTTTGTGGATGGTATGGGGTCGTTCTGATCCTCTTGATGCCCAGCTGTTGCAAACGGGAAGTAAACTCTTCACTCTCGAAACAGGGACCTTGGTCTGTCAGTATTGTCTTCGGTACGCCGTGGTCTGCAACAATGTGTCTAACTACTGCATCTGTCACGGTTCTTGCACGTTGGTCTGGGATTGCTACGGCGTCTACCCATCGTGTCGCGTGTTCCGTCATCACCAAGAGGTACTGATTACCATTGGATGTCTGAGGAAATGGACCCATGACATCTACGGACCACAAGTCACCTATCGCGGTAACTGGAATCGACTGAAGTGGTGGTCGTATACACCGGTCACCTTTCATCAGCTGGCACCGTGGACATCCAAGTACGTATCTTGCTACGTCTTCTCTCATACCTGGCCAGTACATACTTTGTCTTAGGAGATCGGTCGTTCTGGCCACGCCTGTATGCGCTAGCTGGTGACATTCTTCTATCATGTCGTGGCGCGACGATTGAGGTATGACAGCCAGCCAGCTTCCGTCGTTCTCTCGCCAGGTCAGAGTCCCGTAGGCATTCACTCTGAGTCGATCCCTCTGTCTGAGTAGTGTGGTTAGCTCCTTACTCGCCGTAGTTTGATCCACTTCTATTCCGTTGGTGATCACCTGTATTACTGTATTCAGCGTATCGTCCAACCTCTGCCTACGTGCAAGTCTTAGTGGGTCTTGTTCTACTGCATGCACTCCGTAAGCGACCTCGGGCAACTCAGACTCATCTTCTGGTCTCGATAACAAATCTGCCAAGACATTTTCACTTCCAGGAACGTGTGAGATCGTAAAATCGTACTCCTGAAGACGCAACATCCACCGTGACAACTTCCCCCGTGGGTCTCTCGCTGTCTTCAAAAATTGTAGCGGCTTATGATCAGTTTCGATGTGGAACCGCCGGCCGAGTAAATAAGGTCTCCATTTGTCGACTGCCCATACCATTGCTAAACATTCTTTTTCTATCGTTGAATACTTTCTCTCTGCGAGTGTCAAAACCCTACTGGCATACTCAACGATTCCCTCGTCCTGTCTTAGGACCGCACCTATAGCGTAGTCACTGGCATCTGTGCACACTGTGAACTGTCTTCCTGGCACAGGTAGTTTTAGCGTCATTTGTTGGTGGTCGAGCAGCTGTTTAATTCTGTCGAATGTCCTCTGCGATTCTTCCGACCAAACAAACTTTGGCTCACCTAGTAGCCTGTATAGAGGGGCTGCTATCTCATTGAAGTTCTTCACGAAGCGGCTATAAAACGCTGCTCTACCCAAGAATTGTCTCAGTTTTCTCTTTGAATTCGGGGCTGGAATCGTTTTAATCGTCAAAATTTTCTCCGGCAGTGGTTTAATCTCACCATTTCCCACTTTATGTCCCAACAGAGTAACATTCTTTTTGGCTATCTGGGACTTGGTTTTGTTGACGCGTAGTCCAAACTCTTCGATGCGTCGCAGCACGGCTTCTACATGGTTGACGTGATCGTTTTCGTTTTGACTGTATATGACGAGATCATCACCATAAACCTCCACGTTTTTCAAGTTCCTAAGTAATAGCTTCATCAGTCGTCTGAACGTAAACGGTGCACCTGCTAGTCCAAACGGCATGCGTTTAAATCGATATTGTGTCTGACCCACGATGAAAGCCGTCTTATCTCTATCACCTTGTTTTATCGGTATCTGCCAGTATCCTGAGCGAAGATCGAGAACCGAAAACACATTCGCGCCTAATATCGTTCGCTGTAGTTCGGGTACAACAATGAAAGGAAACGTCACCTCGCAGCCACCAACAACGACCGTACAGTTCGATCTACCCGTTATACGCAACACATACCCGCCTACTGTTTGTACTGTCAATGAACACGGGCTAACACTCTTACATAAATTCTTATCTATTAACGACACGGCCGCCCCTGTATCTATCAAACATACTACTTCTCGATCATTCACTCGCAACTTCGAATACAGAGCGCCTTTCTCAATAGCCCCCACTAAATCTAGGTTCATACGAAAGAAAGAACAAGCATTATACCGTCTGAAATTTTTTCTTTTCCGCCTTTCTGGGCAGTATCTTCTCCAGTGTCCCGGCTTACCGCATTCAAAACACCGGTCTTTTCTATCAGCCAACTTTAACGCCGCCACTTCCCGCTGCAATGCTTCAATTTTCTGCTCATACTCGTTTGGTTTTGGTTGGTCTATAGTGGCTGCCGTTGTGCTCAGCAGCTGTCTGGTCACCTTCGCCAGCTCGCTAATATCCATCGGCTGCGTTGCGTTAACCAGTTGTAATCGCTGAGAAATGTGGTCTGGGACACTCTCGATGAATTGGGAAGACAGTAACTGCGCTTCTGATTCTTCATCTAAAGTGGGAAGTGCGCGTCGAAGTAGATTAGTCAGTTTCACCGCCAACACTAGCGGGTCTCCATCAGGTCCAAGCTTCATTGACCGGAACTGCTGCATTGCTAGCTGTCTGTCTGTTTCGCTGTCAAACTCGGAAACTAGTCGTTCAACCAATTTCTTCCAAGACGCTGTGCCATTTGACCTGTCTACGCTGTCATATGCAGCCTTCGCTCGGCCTCTCAACAGCGTCCCCAAGACAACTGCCTTCGCTGCCTGCTCCTTGACACCCACCAGCTCAGCAACAGCCTCGAAGTCACGTAAGAAGCTCCTTATGTATCCTTCTTCAAACGCAGCTGGCCACGGGATCTTCATTTTCTGGAGGCAGCGACACCAAATGTAACAACAGAAGACAAGGGCGAAGCAACAGATCGTTTTATTATGAAAATCAACACGTATTTATACATCTTTCAACTACATTATTATAGACAAGCGCAGTCATCTGATTGGTTGTTTAGGTAGACAAACGCAGGCTTCTGATTGGTTGTTTCGGGATTCCTTGACAAATAGAGTTCTCTCTGCGAATCATATTTTGCCACGTTAACTTTGCTGTGATTGGTTGTTGACTCAGGCTTGTTCATATTTTCTCACGGCCCATATTAGTGACCTAGACCTTAACGTAGACTAGTGCCAACCAATCGGCTAGCAGCCTGCTCTCACCACACTAGGAAGCCAACTAGCAAATCAGATGATTTAAATAGTGATTTCAAGCAAACGAAGAAGAATGTCATGTTGAATAACTGCTGATAGGATTTTATTCAAGAATGTAAAAAGACAAAGAGCAGGATATAACCGGTAATGAAAATATGGAAAATTATATAGGAAATAAGGCATTCACTGTATGGATAATACTGTCATGTATATATAAGAAAGGAAGCAGAATTCTTAATGAAGTATTTAAACTAACCAACTATATATATATATATATATATATTGTATAATTATATAATTGTCGGCTCAGAGACTCGATAGATGCAATTCGGAAAAAGAATAGAATCTACCGAATATGATATAGTGACTAACAGGTCAGTTAAGCTGTTGAGACTAATAAATCAAAGTCATTAAGCTAATGTAAAAGAGACATTTATCTATATGTAAAAATGACGGATTCTGAATAGGTAAGCAGTATGCAAAACATCCAGCTGCATACAATTCATTCATATGCATGTAGTCACTTAATAGGGTTGGGTGAACTGTTATGAAGTGATATATTCATGTGAAGAGGAAGCTTAGACACTAAATCTTTGTTCACTGAATCAAATCTAAATAAATTCAGTCGAAATGACACTACACCTATAGGGGCTATATGGAATATTACAGTGAATAATAAGAGGAATAACAAAATGTAAATATGTAAAGCAGAATTAAACGCCATGCATAAATTGACATGAATGTGAGCTGTAAAATAAGCTCGAAATGTCATCCAGTCATCGATGCCATATTACTGTGTCAAATAAATGAATAAATATACAACCTGATGTAAATCGCTTAATATGAAAAAATGTAAGTTTAACTATCCTCAGATATTGATCAGTTTATCAAGTAGAAAAAACGAATTCACTCCAAAATTTAGGTGGATACGGAACACATTACAGTTTGCAGACACATTAGTTCCTACTCTCATACGTACATTTTATTGATCACTAGATTTAGACATTGAAATGAAAGAATCCAGACACACGAAACCACTGGTTTGTCGATGTGGTTATACAGAGAAAATGCTCGAATCACCTTCACGTTGATATCTGCTGAGGTAACAGTATTTTATTGTACTTAAACCGTGTTTGAACTGAGATAAATTGACAACTACAGTGAGCAATGAATAATCCACTAAATTGATATCAGCTGCGTGAATGGAAACTGTAGTTCATACCTTCACACTAAAATTCGATTCCATTTGACTGGAAATATGTATTTCAATTTATTTTTTCATAGAATTTATTTCCGTGTGTGTATCTTGTTACATGGTATTCCTTTCAAATATTTGAAATAACAGTCATTCCGAATGTCAAATTTGTGCGTTTATTTGAAAACAGTGGACATAGAAGAAACATCAAGTGTTGGTAAGAATATTGACAACTCATCATTCGGTGAGGAAATGGATGAGGAAAATCCCGAGACAAGCTTTATTGAAGTGGTATGTACTTCGTTATTGGAAACTAAAAGAAAATATCTACATTTCCTTCAAGTACTTCGTCTGTTGTTGTATAATGGTGGCAGTGACAGTAGCAATCACGGTATTAGTGGCGAATGTGTAAGGCTGCATTTTAATAACTTTCTCACACATCTCTTTATTTCCAGGGGAGATCTTAGAAATCTGTTTTCTGAAGTGTACGTGCCAATCATCTTTTTGTAAGTTGTTTGAAATATAAATATTAATTTCGTTTTCTGAAACTTCGTTGAAAGTTAATCAAATGTTTGACTTCAGTATTGATATGTATTGTCTCTATTACATGAGTACCCTAACACTATTAGTAACATTACTTTGGTAAACGGGTTACTGGAGGGTTTTTGATGTGCTTTATGATCAATAAATAAATGTATACAGACTAACCGCATTCACTATTCCCACTTCAGAACTGTTGGCCTAATCTCCATGGCAGTAGCGATTCTGGTGAAGAAATTTCAAACAATTTCTGCGATAAATTGTATTCTCATTTCATTGACTGTAAGTGTAGTTTTCTGCCATGCCTTGTATGTGTCTTACTTTCATGAAAAGCACCGATCATTGAAAACAATTAAATATGCAGGAATTTTAGATTGAAGGTAGCATTTCTAGTCTATATGGACGAAGTACAGCTTATTAATAATTACAAGATGGTTTTCGTGTTAGAAATGATTCGACTCCTCCTTCTTCTTACTGAACAGAAGAATGTACTGATATTGTCCATCGAGCCTACTACTTCTAGTCAGTGTCACTGCGCAAAAGTGTTTTACATATTTGAAAATAAATTTCGCGCCTCAAAATTTGTTGAACATCTTATTTGTGAATATATTGTATATTTTGGAATGTCTGTTCACAAAAGACATTTTGAACCTTCCATAATGAAATCAGATCAGAAGAACAGTGCTCACACAACATAAAGGAATCTTGTACACATGTCTCTTATCACATATTTTATATTCATTTATATTTCCATTTAGTTCAAATCAGAAATTCACAGCACTTTATGTACATTACATCACATACTGAATTAACCATAATCCTTCAGCTATACATAATGTCTGCATACGAATATATTAGTGAATGAACTACAAATGAGTTATTGATCGTTATTTCCGATTCGTGTATGGACTGACGACCTATCACTTATTGTATGCACGGTGTGAATGCGTAGGTTGTACTACGATAATGTTTTACAATATCACATGAAGAAAATCTCTTGTCAAGTCACAAAGGGTTCACGTTGAATATCCTAGACAATTAGGCTTTCATCAGTTACGGAATAGTGTATAACATCTTGAAATATCTTCAAATATGTAGACATTCAAGGGTGAGCACACTGAATATTCGTTTGAATCAATGCCACACTGATTTACCTTACCGTTACATAATATTTTCTATTAGTTTCTGCTGCATAAATTGAGTTCTACTGCAACGGAGACCCATTATAACAATCAAATTGATTGCAGCACCATCAGCAACGATGGGTCGTTATACAAACTTCTTGAAAATATACAAATATAAAACTTTTGAGGGTTTTGATAGTTCCAAGTTTCTCACGAAAACTACTACTATAACCCTATTCACATGAATATTTATTCTGGGAAAAATTGACTCAACATGAACCTTTATTCTTACAGGCGTTCTCATGGTCTTTTGCGGCCGCCAGTTTCACTAAGTCCTTGGGATTCTGGACTCTACTAGCATGGTCTGCAGCGATAATGCTTGCTGTCAGTGCAGTCACAATTGGATATACAATAGAACAGCACACCGAAATTGTGTACATGATTATACTATATTCTGCAATCGAATTGGCGGTCATCAGCGGTATTGTGTTTATTTTTCTACACTTCTATAAAGTAAGCAGCCTTTCGATTTCACACTTTATTTGTGCAAAGAAACTAATCTGAAATCTGGTGTTTTCAAGCGTTTTGGTCTAGCTAGAAACTTGGAAATTTGAACGGCCAAATATCACTTGACAGATACCTCTGGGTGTCAGTCTACATCAATACGTAATGTGTGTATTACGCCATACTTGGTGCGACAACAATCAGTGTTAAAGTGTTGGCGTTACTGTCAATATCTGACTGACAGTTGTTTTCCCGCATTGAAGTACTTACTGAATACTTATCTCTGAAATTAGTCGCAAGTATAATTGCAACGTTAGAAATCCACTATTTCAGATATCCGACCATTCCCTCCAAATCTTCAAAATGTAACAAGTGAACGCTGTTTTTGTAATGTGTGGTTAATTTAAATCAGTTTCATTAGCTACTTAACGTGCAATCCTGAATCGCTGTGAAATTGATGTTGGTTGGTAGTATTTATTTGAATTTTATTTTATTTTTTATTTTTGATTACAGCTTGATTCCACACCATATTTTCGGTACAAGTATGGAATTTTCAGCATGGATATCGGTAGCCTAAATTTCGCAGGCCAACCATAGATATCAGGTGTGCATCGGAAGGGGATCGAACCTCGGACCATGTGCATGGTCGGCGAGAGTCCTAGCCACTGTGCCACCGACGCACAAATATGAATAATTGACTGTATTAACAATATAGAGAATCAGTAATTCAACAGTGAGTGCTAGAGAAATTTGCTGAGCAGAATTTTATATACAAGATGTAGCAGTGCGACATATTTTATCTAAAAATGATATACTATTTATTTCCATCCTTTCCTAGAGAAACATGCGCGACCTAGTTTTCGGAGAGTTTTTCGCGTCGGGTCTGATATTAGTAAGTCAGATGTTTTTACGGTCATTAGGAAAATATCATTTCTGTTTTGTATTTCTTATAAATGTATATATATATATATTCAAGTTGTTTGAACCTGGATAGATTGGACATCAGGAAAACTAACGGTTCAACGCTGATTGTAGTACATCGATGTTCGAAGAATTGTGATGACAATCATTGTGGTTGTGATGTATTCAAATGACCTCAATATGATTGATTAGACAGATGTTTTGTGTGTTGTATCATATGTACGTAATTTATTGTGTAACTACTTTCTTTCACCTCATTTCTGTTATACAGATGCTATATCTAACTGGACAAACTATGCAACAATACACTGAAAATGAGGTGACTACGAGCATACCACTTTGGGCAGCTTTCATAAGTTGGGTGGAAGTGGTTTTACTGTATTTCAGCTTATCTCTCGTGTCTGTGAACCAAAAGTGAAAGAAAATTTCAACAATCTCTTGTTTTGTTGTTGTACATGAAATATTCAACTTCTTTTTTTGACACACATTGAACACCACATGAATATATTTCCTTATTTTGCATGTCAGTCTATTCGTTTACACTTTTGAAACCGGATAATCAATTTCCAAGGGATATTACAGATTTCACCTCTCAATGTGAGCAAAAGATTTTTATTTGAACAGGTGTTGGTGGTGGTAGAACTCAGTCAGTATAGATGACTGAATACCATGAAAATCATGTTATTACATGCAGTTCTACATGACTCCAGTGGTGCTCGTGGAAACCGAGAAATGGCGTCTTCGACTGTAGCACTTGGTAATGTGGATAAGAATCAAGTCTTTGCGAATATTTTCTTGATTGTCTCAGATATTTTCCGTTGACGATGGGTGATAATAGAGAGTTTCGCTTCAAGATTTTAACTTTGATCTCCTCACAGTTTGCGAATCTTTGCAGTGAGATTCAGATTTTAGCATGTTTAAAACTTCCTGTTTTGCAGTCACTCAACTATTCATTCTCTACAAGATAAATACGTACTACAGATAACATCGAATACAACATGCTTAGGGTAAGTTTGCATAATAGACGTCGTTTTCTCATGTATAAAAGATGTGCTTGTGTAGTCACCATCAGTCGATGAGAGAACAAATCATGATCAATATACCATGACTGAGATGCAGTGTATTATCAGAATAATATGAAAAGCAAAGAGAATGAAATTTTTCAAATAAGGGCTGTGGCGGCTGTGATAAATATTTCCCTAATTCAAAGGAATGCAATTTGTCACTCCTTTTGTCCCGGTTTGGACACAGGGTTCGACCTTTGAAGTGTCAGTGGTGATAGTGTCATTTTCGCATGGTTTCATTGCTAGTCCTATGCTGATATCGATTTACATATAAAGCAGAAGATGTGTAGCTTAGATGAATGATTTCAGTATAATTATTTTATATGAGCTTGTGTGCGTCGGTGGCACAGTGGTTAGGACTCTCGCCGACCATGCACATGGTCCCGGGGTTCGAGCCCTCGCCGACGCACGCCTGATATCTATGGTCGGCCTGCAAATTTTCGGGCTACCGATATCCACGCTGAAAATTCCATACTTGTACCAAAAATACAGTGTGGAATCAAGCTGTAATCAAAAATAAAAATAAAAAATAAAAAAAAATTAGTCCCGTGCATAAAGGTAATTGCTAAACTTCACCGTCTAATGATTTTTCGGATGAGAATCAAATACGGGACTCTCCAGTTACTGGAGAGCAAATGACAATTGATTCACTGCTGGAAAGTGTCTCTAAGCAGGCAGATAGACCAAATTATTTTACTTTATTATGGTTGTGGTAATAGATAATCACGTTTCTGTTCTGATGAATAGGAGCTATAGTTATATTTATACATCGCATGTCAGGCATACCTCCAAGTGAAATCAATTTGAGATTGAGCGGTTAGCGTCCAATGGTGATAAGTTGTCGCATCCCTATGTTCTAATGTAATCTCAACGAATTATTACGTTTTTCAATGGTATCATAAAGAGAATGGTAGCCAAATGTTTTCCTCAGCTTCCCCACCTATGAAAAACTGTTTTATATTGTTGACGACGAAGTAATTTGGGAGTTACTTCAACATTGTGAATTACCCAAATCTTTATCAACCTCATTCAGCAGCTGACTACATGATAATGACAGGAGTCGAGTGATGTGCAACACACAGTTCATCGAGGCATCTGTAGTGAAGATAGGAGTAAGACTAGGCTGCCTACTAACCATGGTAATAGTACTGCTTCTGGTGGACTGGAATATGCGTGAGACAGTGGGGAGCCACAATTAAGGAATACGCTTCCCCGATAAGAAGGCTTTAGAAGAACTTGACTTC